TCGGGATATTCCAGCAAGGACTCCACAAAGTATCTCTGTGTAAAATATCTTGGTCTAGGCTTCTGTCCTAACCTCCTGTGTGATCCCACAATAGACAGACTTATCTGTCACTACATGGCTCTGTCTAGTGTGACCTGGGCACATAGGTACTACACAGAGTGTGGAGGTACCATACACTGCTGTGGCAGGCACGTTGGCCATTCATCCTGCCTTGCCTGCAATATGGCAGAGCTCACCTGCTACAGTGGAGGCTGACAATACTAGATGCGTGTACTCCCAGACTCCTCTGCAGCTGGGAATGGTGATATGACCCAGTTCTGCCAAAGAGACATAAATGAACATATTCTGGGAGAGCTTCTGGGAAGGATTTTCCTCCCCGATAAAAAGAGAGAGACACGAGAGAATGACTCTCTTACAATTCTTGTTGCCCTCTTCTTCCTGATGTGTGGTATCTGTAACAAAGGCAGCTGTTTAGAGACTGTGAGGAAACAGGCCTGCGGATGAAAGTGGAGTCTTCTGAGGATGCTGAGAACGATGAGGGGATGGGAAGAGGCTGCATCCTTGATGACGTTGAGTGGCTGCACCAGACCTGGAAAAGAATCTCTGACTTTTAGGATGGAAACTACTATTGCACAGAGCACTTTTAGACAGGTATTCTGTTATTTGTTGCCCAAAGCATCCTACTTAGCATGGCTGTCTGGTATTTAATATGCTTCTTGTCTTCTGTTTCTTAGAAGGAAGAAGTCATTGGAATACTCTTCCTTCAACCTTGGTGCCTGGCTGCCTCTTACTCAGCCTTATCACCACACTACTCCACTTACTCATTTACTTGTTAGTTCACTTCATAAAGTTTTGGTGAGGGAAGAATTCATCACTGTTTGATTCACTGCCACAGTCCCAGTTCCCGTTGTGTGATAAATAGTCATTCAAAAAATATTTGCCAAGAATAAGTGAATGGGGACAATGAAGGAGGTAGAATGCTGAGTGTAGCTATTGCCTAGAAGTGAGAGAATGAAGTCAAGGATGTCACAGTTTCTGGCTTGTATGGTTGGCAGAATACTGTATTTCACTGAGCATAATGCACTTTTTGGCCCAAATTTTTGAGGGGAAAATGAGGATGTGTATTATATATGGGTATAATGATTACATACCATGGGTATAGTATTGGGTACAATAATGTCTTATGTGCCCCAAAACATAGGTGCATTACACATGAGAACACAATATACACAGCAAAATACAGTAGTTGAAGACGAATTTTGTCCTGGGGTTGTTGAAACTGAGGAAGTGCTTTTGGAATAGTCCCTGCAGACAACTTCAATCCAGGATCTGGATTGAAAATCAGGAAAGAAGGAACTGGCCAGGAAGAATGTGTAGCATAAGAAGTGACTCTTCAGTGCTCCCTTCTCACTGTGTGGTACCACCATCTATCTTGTGGCCCAAGCCAGAAATCAGGAAGTCATCCTTGATACCTCCTTCTCCCTCACCTCCCATTTCAATCCATCCCTAAGTACTAAGATTCCACTTCTGTCTCTCACACCCACAAACTTCCCTCTGTCTCCTTTGCCACCACTGGAGTCCAAGCCAACCACCTCTCTCCTGTGCTGTTGTGATGGCTTCCTAATTGGTTTCCCAAACCCTCTCCAATGCTCTCTCGCTCACTGTATTCCAGCTGCATCAGTCTTCTCTTGGTCTTTGAAAGCCAATCTCCTTATCTCAAGCCCTTTATCCAAGAGATTTCCTTCGCCAAGGACACTGCTCCATCCATCCTCCTCCTGCCCCACCCTGGTCTCTGCTTTAGCTCTCAGACTGAACATGGCATCCTCAGGGATGTTTGACCACCTCTGACTCCTTAGCCCACTCACACTTTTGTGGCCTCAGAAATCTAACTTTGTTGGAAAACCATGGAGTGATTGGGCTTTTGGTGGCATAGAGAGGCAAATAAAACTTGTGTAGCAAAATTAAATTATTCATTAAAATGAGAAATATAACTTGAGGATCAGAAACTCTTGAATGTGGACAAGCACATTTTTTCCTCTAGAAGGGAAATCTACATAGAAAGTCAAATAGCTTGTGAGTACAGGAGCAGGTGAGGGGCAATGGCTGCATGGTTTAAATGTTTAAATTTGCTGAACCACGATTCCCCAGCATACCCAGTCCCACCATGGAAATCTCTCATGACATCTGTTCCTGGGCAACCACCCCCATGCTGAAGGCCCCCTTCTAATGTTTGCTTCCAGTTCCTAAGCTTCAGTAGTTAATATGCTACCCCATCAGACTTAAGTTTGCTTTACATTTGTTAACATCTACTTGGTTAATACTTAATAGGGCTAAGGTCAGACCTGGGAGCTGGCTTTTCTTTTAGATGACTTGGCACATATCCGGGTCTGATGTATTGTATGTATTCATAGTTAATTTTTTTCAGCTGTAATGGTCTTTATTTTGTATTTTATTATTTAAAAATTTTTTGAATTTTTACTTTTTCATTTTTTAATTTTATTGATTATGCCATTTTGGTTGTTCTTTCCTCCCTTCATTCCCCTACATCCTGCACACCCCCTCCCCCACCATCCCCCCTTTAGTTTATGACCATGTGTCTCAAGTTCTTTAGATTCTTCATTTCCCCTACTATTCTTGCCCTCCCCCTGTCTATTTTCTACCTACCATCTATGCTACTTATTTTCTGTACCTTCTCCCCCCTTCTCCTCCTCCCACTCCCCTGTTGCTAACCCTCCTTGTGATCTTCATTTCTATGGTTCTGCTCCTGATCTAGCTGTCCTTTAGTTTGCTTTTGCTTTAGGTGTGGTTCTTAATAACTGTGAGTTTGCTGTCCTTTCACTGTTCATCTTTTTTATCTTCTTTTTCTTAGATAAGTCCCTTTAACATTTCATATAATAAGGGCTTGGTGATGATGAACTCCTTGAATTTGATCTTATCTGAGAAGCACTTTATCTGCCCTTCCATTCTAAATGAAAGCTTTGCTGGATAGAGCAATCTTGGATGTAAGTCTTTGGATTTGATGACTTGGAATACTTCTTTCCAGCCCCTTCTTGCCTGTAAGGTCTCTTTTGAGAAATCCACTGACAGTCTGATGGGAACTCCTTTGTAGGTGACTGTCCCCTTACCTCTTGCTGCTTCTAGGATTCTCTCCTTCATTTTAATCTTGGCTAATGTAATGATGATGTGCCTTGGTGTGTACCTTCTTGGGTCCAAGATCTTTGGGACTCTCTGAGCTTCCTGGATTTCCTGGAAGTCTATTGCCTTTGCCAGATTGGGAAGTTCTCCCCTATTTGTTCAAATAAGTTTTCCACTTGTGCCGTTCCTCTTCCCCTTCTGGTACCCCTGTAATTCGGATGTTGGAATGCTTAAAGATGTCCTGGAGGTTCCTAAGCCTCTCCTCATCTTTTTGAATTCTTGTTTCTTCATACTTTTCTGTTTGGCCATTTTTTTCTTCCTTCTGGTCCACTCCCTTGATTTGAGTCCCAGTTTCCTTTCCATCACTATTTGTTCCCTGTGCATTTCCTTTCATTTCAATTAGTTTAGCTTTCATATGTTCCTCTAATTTGTGACTAAAATCAACCAGTTCTGTGAGCATGCTGATCACCAGTGTTTTTTTTTTTTTAAGAACAGTGAAAGTAGACTCTTCTAGAACTTAAAGTCACTTCTTTAAAAGTCTCTTATTTATTTTTTTTAGATTCCTTCAGGATCTACATTGCTGGTTGTTTGAGCACATAGAACTGTGTAGCATGAATGCTGCAACCCTGCTAATGGTCTGTGGGGTTGCCAGTGCAGGTTCGAGGACACTGAACTCCAAAGATCAGAGCCTTTTGGAAGGTGGTTGTTAGACAAGAGGAAAGGCTGAAAACATTCATATTCATGAAACCTTGCTATGTACTCAACAGCTACCAAAACATTCTTGCACAATTGTCATTAAGAAGCCCCTTGGAAAATCCTCCTCCTCCGTGGGACTTAACCTTCTATCTCAACGCATTCCATGCTAATCAGGTATCCTGGGAAACAAGCCAATCTGCACCTAGAACCCCTGCAGGTAAGACATACAATGTCTGGAGCCTTTAGTAGAAGGGTCTCAAACCCTTTTTTCTACTTTCTATCTCAGACCAAAGGGGATATTTAATGACCAGATCATTCTTGTACCAATAGCCAGGGGAGGTTTGCTTTGACCAAAGGCACTGCAGTGGGCCAACCCCCTGCAGCTCCATTTTGTATCCTGTTTAGGCTGTTCTTTTTAAAAAAAGATTTTATTTATTTATCTTTACAGGGGAAGGGAAGGAGAGGGAGAGAAATATCAATGTATGGTTGTCTCTCGTGTGTCCTATGCTGGGAACTGGCCCGCAACCCAGGCATGTGCCCTGACTGGGAATGGAACCATGAGCCTCTCTCTGGTTCACAGGCCGGTGGTCAGTCCACCGAGCCACACCAGCCAGGGCTTGTTTAGGCTGTTCTTGAAACTTGGAATACATTTCCACTCTTCCCATGCTTTCTTTGAAGTGTGCTAACCATGGATGAAAGCAAGAGGGGAATGGCTCGGGTGGCAGAGACAATCACAGGACACTGGAGAGCTGGCCCCTGAGCCACAGCACAGCGTCAGCCCCGATGGGACCCAGGCCTGTCTGGGAACACGTGGCGGCTGGCTCTCATCACACTCCTCTCTAAGGGCGGCGGCGGCACCCTGAACATCTGTACCTGTCCTCAGTGACCCGTTCTCGTCCTTGAGTGTGCAGGGTCAGGCCAGTTGAGAGGACATCCCAGGGGATGGGCCCACAAATACGAAATTGAGCAGGTTTTGCTCAGATACAACTCTGATGCCACTACCAAGTACAAGTAAGAAACAGGGTTCTAGTAGCTTGAGACGTAACCAATATATACTTACACATGGATTGTTAACACACGCGACTTTTAAATAAGACGTACACAAAAAGCTGTGAGTATAATTTATTTGTATTCTTACATAGAAATTTGTTATATAAACAACAGGGAAAACTACAAGGGCTCTTTAAGAAAGCTCATAAAATACTTAATTTTAGGCTAATGCTTAGTGAAAAAAATAGCTTGGGAAAACCAATACCATTTAAATTAGACAATGTGCAAGGCTTTAAACTGTTCTTATTTACAAGTCTGTGTGAGCACACAGGGCGAAGGTGTGTAATTAGCACCCTGGGTGGGGCTCTGTTCTGAAGATGGACTTGGAGACAGAGAAGGGCCCTTCTCTGGGCCCTTTATTCCTGGTCATCCTTGGTCGTGCTTGTGTTTCTCGCTCCCTCCCCCAAATCTTACTTCACAAATTCCCTAACCAGAGGGATTTCAGTTGAAACACTGAAATTTTAATTTTTCCACAGGAATATATGTGACTGCTGCCAGGTCGTGGTTTCAAAAGGCTCTGGTCACAGGGTTTTTAAATGGGAACCAAGTGTGTTTGTTTTCCTGAGAGAAGGAAGAAGTGACCTTCTCCCTAAACTATTTGTAAGTTTACTTCCCTTTTCATGTTTATCGATCCAGCAAACTGCATATTTTTGCACTGAGCATTGCAAACCAAGGAGGAACAAACCTTTAAGATTTCACAGTTTCACTTCTTGCATGCTCTGAAATCCTGGACTGATACATACTGCAGGGGACATTCTCACAAGAAAAAGATAATAAATAAATTAACTCTACCTAAAAAACCCTTGCAATCTCCAAGAAAAGTAATAATACAGAATAATTTTGACTGACAAAAGCCCTTTCTCCCTACTGCTGCTGTCAGCTTGAAATCACCCAAGCTTATCTTCTGTAAGTGCCACACAGCACAGCTGCAAGGCCAAGGCCATGGTCCTGTGGGGCCTGGGGGCGGGCTCAGCCATCAGCCACACCTCTGCCACGGTGCCCGCAGCCAGAACGTGGAGCTCGTGTTGATTTTCACAAGCCAGGCTGCTTATCTGAGAATTCTGGGTTGACTTCGATTTTGTGACCATGAATTCCATTCACTTAAGGCTTTAGTTGGCTTACAGAGCTTAAATTTTAATACTGTTAACATCATCTAGCCAACTGAACATCACACATATCAATAAGTATCAATAATTAGCTCCCATCTCACTTCCTCTTTCTGCTGGAGCATTTTAGCTTTATAAATACATTCTGGTCTTTGTGCCTACACCCCATAAGGGTTTCAAATTCCATAGAAAGAGCACATGGATGTGTCTCTCACATGTTTCTGGATGTTCCTGAAATCTAAAAAAAACTACGAAATGAGCGGACGAACAGATCACCGGTGGGCTAGTGGGAAAGCGGTTACTAGTGGAAAACAATGGTTTGCTGGGGCCCTGGAGGTCACCTGGGCCGTTAGTCAGAAATGACGCGTGACCATGGCTGGGGGGCAGGTTGCGCTCACAGAGGGCTTTCGACCATCCTTTTCTTGGCTTGTAGGTAGAAGATGCGGTTTTCTTCAGGATAAGTGACTTCACTGAGGGGAATCTTGTACATGTTGGGGGTTTTTGTGTTCAGCAAGAGGAACAGCAGCGTGGCCAAGCAGAAGGGCCAGGTACAACAGGGCACTCCGATCTGGGGAGAGAGAGAGAGACAAGCCACTTGCTCTCTGAGATCCTGTCAGAAAGCTAATCCCCACAGTGTCCCCTGCCACTCTGTCCTCAGCCTGTCCAGGAGGTGAGCCATTGCTCTGGACCCTGCTGCTGCCCAGGGAGGCTGAGTCTGAGATCTCAGGGCATTCAGCAGTGGGGATGTCATCACCCGTTCTTTAAGGTGGTCCATTATAGTTCTATCTTGTGCATCTTCCTTTCCTCCCACACATTCAGGTTTCTTACACCAGTGTGCGAAGATGATACTTGGCACACAGAGGTGACACTTAGCAAATCACCAGTGGCTCCCGACCACTCATCACACTCACAAAACCTTCTTGGACTCGTTCAGCCCACAGTGACCTCTCCCCCCCAACTTTCATCAAACTAGGTCTTGGACTTCACTCGCTTTACTGCTTTTCACTCTCTCTCGCAAACAGGCTCTAAGCAACTTGAGGGTACATCTTTCTTCTGTGCTATGCAGATGATCATGCAGTTCTGCGCATGTACCATGTGCTTGATGAGGTCTGGCCCTCTGCAAGGACCCGGGGGGTGTGGTGGTGCCCAAACCTGACTGCAAGTCAGAATTGGTTCTCTGGAGACAGGGTTAAAAAACACAGGTGCCCAAGCACCTATCAGAATTGCCAAGGAACAGCGCCGAAGAATCTGTATTTTTGAAAATCTCCCTAGCTCACCCTGCTGTGCAGCCTGTCCACTGTGGTCCATGGACTGATGTCTGTGACCCTTTGTTGGGACGCAAGGGGCCCCACAATGCTCTAATATACTGCCTGCCGTGCCTGTTATGGTGCTTCAACTTTCCGCCAGAAGGATACCGTGTCTCCAGAGAACTCTCCCAGGTAAACACTCTGTGCCACTGCTGAGAGGACCAGACGCTGTCTTGACCCACTGGCGGCCATGACCACATCCACATGGACGGAGCTACCAGGAACTGATTCTGTCCCTGCATGGTGGGTGAAGAGAGAAAGTCCAGGGCCCTGGGAGGTGGGGGTCCTAGAGTGAGTCATACGAGGTTCCTCCTAGTATGGGGGGGAGGTCAAAGGGCTGGAGAGTGCTGGGAAAGGGTGGCAGGGTACACTTAATGGGCAATGATTTTGCCTATTAATTAATTCGGCCAGGACATGGGTCTAAACAAGTCCTATTGATGACCGATGGGGGATTTTAAAAACACAAAGGGTGTGTAAACTATTGGCTTGATTTAAAAAAATGGGCCCTGGCTGGTATGGCTCAGTGGGTTGGGTGCCGGCCTGTGAACCAAAGGGTCGTCAGTGCGACTCACAGTCAGGGCACATGCCTGTGTTGCAGGCCAGGTCCCCAGTAGGGGGTGCACGAGGGACAACCACACACTGATGTTTCTCTCTCTTTCTCCCTCCCTTCCCCTCTCTCTAAAAATAGATAAATAAAATCTTTAAAAAATGGGTTTTGGTCAATTATCTTTTCCCCCCCTTTCCTGCTTTCTCAACTACTACATAGTTCTGGCTTTGTGTTTAAGTAAAAAAATACTCTAAAGTTAACTTCCTGATACTCAGAGTGCAAGTTTGATAATACGTTATACAACCTAAGTTTCTTTCAAGCAAGCAATGATATTCTCAACAAGCTTGGTGATCGCAGTTTGGACTAAAAGGTACTGTGATGCTGGAAGGTGAGTGAGGACAAGCAGGTGCGAGAAAAGGGGAAGTGGTGGCTGTCATGGTCACGGCTCCCGCCAGGGACACCACCTGTGTGGACCTCAGGAGGGCTCCGTCAGCACTGAAAACTGACCGATCCTGCTGCAGACAAAGTGCGGTTAAAGCAAACTCACCACGCTCATCAGGTTTGACATGCTGCTTTTGAGGTAGGCAGTGAACAGGGCTACAAAAAAAAGACAGAACAATTCTTGGTGGTTTCATTTCATTACGTAAAGACTGTCTTCTGGTATAAATGACCTGGAATGTAAATATTCCCGTTTTGACAGCTGGCCCAGTACCCTGGTTACAAGTGTGGGTTTAGAGTCAGCAGCTTTGGGTTCAAATCCAGACTCCACCACTTAGGTGCTTGGTGGCCACTGGCTGAGTCTGGCTAGAAAGCAGGGGTCAGAAAGGGTTAATATAGCAGTTCACAAATATGGGCCCCTCTCCCAGCAACGCCCCACCCCACACTCCTGGTTAGAAATGCAAACTCCTGCCCCCGAGGGTGTAGCTCAGTGGATTGAGTGCCTGCTCGTTTGTGGACAAAAGGGTCCCTGATTTGATTCCCAATCCGGGCACATGCCTGGGTTGCAGGCCAGGTTCCTGGGTAGTGAGGGGCAGCCACACACTGATGTTTCACTCTTTCTCTCTTCCTTCCCCTGTCTCTAAAAATCTTTGAAAAAAAAAATGCTCACTCTTTCTCTCTTCCTTCCCCTGTCTCTAAAAATCTTTGAAAAAAAAATGCTAACTACTTCCTCCACCTCTAACAATGAATTCGGGTGTGAGAGTGGGCCTAGAAGTCTGCATTTTAACACACCTTCCAGGTAATTCTGACACACCCTCAAGCCTGAGAAGGGCTGGATTGATATGATTCTCAAAGGGCCTGGGTGTAAAATTCTACCTGATTCACCAGGGGACATGGCCCTGTATTTAGCTTATTTCCATTTATTTTCTTCAAATGATCAGTGTGAAGAACACAGGACAAGTTGAGTTTCTATCCTCCAACATACACACATTGTAAAATGGGTAGTAGGACTCAACGGGTTCTCCTGTCTCAATAGCCACCGAGCTAGGCAGAACCGACCTGAATATTCCCAGACAGGGGGTGTCACTTGCCCTGGTCACACACTTAAGACAGCATGGGTCCCAAACTAGACATGCAGTCCTTGTCTGCTGTTTGTCCTGGATTCTGATCCCACAGTCACGAGCAACCCTCCCCCCAGATGCACGAGATACTCACCACAGGCAAGAGCCAGGAGGTGGGTTTGCCAGGTGAGTGCCATGAACATTCCTCCAATTGCAATGCAGGCCAGAGAGCTGTTGTAACCCCAGAGTCCAAAGTAGATGTCCTTAAATGGAGCCGAAAGACTGAGTGCTGTTGGATAAGACAGGAGGAGTCAGAGTTGAGCATGGAGGAAAGGCAGGATGCTCTGGAAGGGGCCTGGTGCGGCGGAAGCAGCGGAAAACTCCCATTGGTCCCTTGGAGGCAGAGACCTCCAGAACATTCCGGAGTATGGGGATGGCTGACACAACGCACGGGCGCTGGAGGTGCTCTAGGCGCCCACTTACCTGCTGCTGTCCCCACCAGCGATCCCACTGCAGCGTGCAGGCACATGAGCGGGGAGGAAAGCAGGATGGCGCCTAGGAAAATGAGCCCTGTCCACAGATTGTCACAACCATATATCTGGCCAATACTCACAGGCAGGGATTTCAATAGCTGCAAAAAATAATTTAGGAAACAAAGTCGTTAAGACAACTGGACAGAAACCCATCAGACACCCACAAACACATAGAAAGTAATTTTAGATTTAGTGTATCTCATCTTTTGAGATCAGTGTTATTCTCTTTCTCTTTACAGAAAAATTTTTGTCATTTTTTGGCCAGAAAATTCTCTTAAAAATTCTCTTTCTCTTTACAGAAAAATCTTTGTCATTTTTTGGCCTTATACTCAAGGTACACCTGTATCGAACAATGCAGTTTGAAATTGATCAATGAATACTGTTTTATAATGTCATTTTCATGAGGAGTTATAATAAAATTTTGATTTTCCTTCTGAGTTATTTCCAAAAGCCCCCATTTATTGTCTGGGCAAGAAGCTAAAGAGAAGATGACTTGAGCCTCTCACATATTTTGATTGCTCAGCACAGAGGACAGTAAAAGCTGTTTCATAACCTGGTAGTGGCAAAGCTGATCTTTTGCACATGAGAAAAGCTAAGGTTTCATTGGTTTTCTTCTGATTTCAAGTGCTCTCTTGTTTTTAATAATCAGGAAACTTTAGAGAGACTTATTAAATAAACACCACCAGGAAGAGCTGGAACTTGATTTGGGTTAACTGGGTATTTAAAAATGGTGTTCTCTGTAAATGGCGAGTCTGTAAAGAGATACATAGTATATACAGCCTATGACAATGGTTCTCAGACTCTGGCCCACGTTACAAGTATTGGGGAGCTTGTTAATACAGGTTTCCAGGCCCCATCTTCAGAGAGTATGATTAAGGGCCTCTATCATGGTACATATATTGGTATTTAAGAAACAATGATTCTGATTCCTACCAAAGCTTGAGGACCCTGAATTATTGTACTTATTCTGTGAGACTGACCATAAGAAAAGCAGAACAGAGAGGTTCTCTGGTGGATATAACACTAAGAAGTCAGTTCTTTTGATTGGAGGAGGCAGGTTAGGGAGGACTTAGCTCCAGGCTGGAGGTCCCTCCCCATCAATGGCCGGCCCCCATCACATCCGCCCAAACAAGGACCAAGTCTGCACAGAGCATCTGGTTTCCAATGGAGCTATACTCTGGAATTAGCACTACAGATCTTAGGTACAGAGGGGAAAAGTTAGCTTCGACCAAACAGTCACTTTAAAAAAATCCCTTAGAGCCCAGAGCTTTGGAGCAGAACAAATGCGTTAGCTGGTACAAAGAGGACAGCAAGGCCCCCCCTAGCGGTGAGTCTCTAGAAGGCACTGATGCCCGCGAATGACCATAGGGAGGGCACCGGATGTCTTCCGGAGGTGGGGGGTGTGTGAAGAAATAGTGTATCTTACCTGCAGGGCACTGAGTTCAGACCAGGTGACATTGGGAACTGAGTTTTCAGGTGTGATCAAGGTGGTTGGGAAGAACGGATTGTAATGTCCCGTGGCTGAAAGGTACAGGGTTATCGCCATGTTGAAGGGCAGGGTGAGGACAGGCAGTTCCCATTTGGTGAACACGGAGTTCAACCCACTTGAGAAAAGTGGACTAAAAACAACAGAACAGAATGGAAAAACATGCGTGTGACAGCCATGTCGGCACACTGAATCTCGGCGCTACAGAAGGCCTTCGTTCCATTGTGAATGTGTCCCTAAAGTGCTGTGTCGGACACGTTTTCACAGAAACAAACAAACAAAATTCGAACACACCAGGGATAAATCCTATCATAGACTCATTCTTACATAAAGTCAAAAAATCAAGTCAGTTTATTTGGCTTTTGAAACCTTATACTTGGTGTTGCTCACAGTGAGCTATATATCTAGGTTTCAAAAATATTTTTCTAGTATTTAAGGCATATGAAATAAAAATACCTGCACAGTTAAAGCCATCCCCTCCCCACCAGAGGTAACTGCAATCTTGAACTTGTCTATCATCTGCACAAGACTTTAGTATCTGTCTTTTTGAAAAGGATAAACAATTATCTAAGGGATAATTGCAGGTGGTGTGGGCTGGATGAAGAAGGTTCTAAACTCAGGGGGCAGTGTTTTAAGTCCTTGCACAGCTGATGAGCTGTGTGACCTTGGGCAAGGCACTGCTCCTCAGCTTCCCTGTCTGTACACTGGAGTGTTGGATTTGTGGGTCTCTGGGACCCTTTTGTCCACTCACTTAATCAAACGGCCATCATTTTAAGATCAGAACTCCAGACTCATGGGTTTTGGGAGGTGGTGTGGTAAGCATTCCCAGGCACTGACTCCTGCCCTTGAACCTGTTCTTCTGAATGGGCCGGAAGTTACCTCCTGAAGCAGGTTGGCTCTGCTGGCAGGTTCTACCCAGGTACCTGCGGTTGCAGCCAGAGGGGGTGGCTTTCCTGCAAACACTGTCCATGGTGGGCTTTACTTTTCATTTGTGTGGATATTAGTGTTTTATATTCTAAATACAGTACTAAGAAAGAAAATCCTGTTTCTGAAACAGGATTTTAAATATTATCAACATAGTAACTAGTTTGACGAATTCAAGTTTAAAAAAAAGAATTGAATTCAGTAAAGAAATCTTTTCTCACTGCCATGATGCTGACATCGCTCCTCAGTAAGGACTTTTTTTAAGGGGAATTCATAGAGGCACAGAGGTTCTTAAAGTGGGGTCCCTGGAGTGGCTGTATCAGCAAGGTCCAGGCTCTTGCCAGAAATGCAAATTCTCAGGCTCCATCCAAGATGAACCGAATCGGAAACTCCAGGGAGGAAAGCCGCAGTCCTTCTCAACCAGCCCTGCGGGTGATTCTGAGACAGTGCGGGTTTGAGGACCACCGACATAGTGAAAGGTTCTTAGCTTTGGTTGTACTTTATTTAGGACACTCTGGGGGTCTTTAAAACCCTCAACGCCCAGGCCCTGGCCAGTGAGGCTCATTTGGCTGGAGCACTGTCCTGTACGCCAAAAGTTTGCAGGTTTGATTCCTGGTCAGGGCACACACCTAGGTTGCAAGTTCAACCCCTGGGTGGGGATCCTGTGAGAAGCATCCAACTAATTCTCTCTCACCTTGATGTTTCTTTCTCTCCCCCTCCCCCTCTTTCTAAGAAAGTAATGAAAAATGTCCTTGGATAAGTGTTTAAAACAAAGAAACAAACAAAACCTCCCAGGGCCCAGGTAAGAACCCCAACCAAGACCAATTACATCAGAACCTTGGGGAGGTGCTATGAAGGGTCAGGCGCATCGGTGTATTTTAATGTTTCCTTTTTCCAGTAGACATAAACCAAATCTAAATTTAAAAAAATGTCTCCCTCTCCCTCCCGGGTGCACGCTCATGCTGTTCCCCTTCCCTTCCCCAAGCACATTAGCATCGCCTTCTCCCCTCCCGGGGTCCAAAGACCCTCTTTTGCCTCTATAACTTGTTTCCTGAGCCCCTTCCTTCTACCAGTTATGTCTCCCACCTCTGTGACTTTCTAAGTAAACACATCTCTTACAGTTTGAAAAAAATAAAAATAAAAACATTATATCTCAAGTTGTATTCTATACATAACCTGACAATTGCCAGTTAACCATTAGAAAGTCTGCAGTTCAGCAGCACTAAGCACATTCTCGCTGCTGTACAATCGGCACCACTACCCCTTTGCAGAACATTGTTCGTCTTGCAAAACTGAAACCTGTACCCATTAAGAAGGAACTGCCCCTCCCTCCAGCCCCCGACCACAAATTTTTTTAAAAAGCATTTTGAAGACCAGGTACAACTTACCAAGTCATGGACAAAGCACATACAGGGAATAACAGCCACCAGAAATAGTCTCCCTTGTCTGAAAAGATAGCCATGACTATTCCCACGAGGGTGGCGTTATAGCCGTGCAGTCCTGCCGCGATGGCTGACCTGCGGGAACAGACACAGCAGGGGCATTTCCCAGGTGGACATTGGCTGGACTTGCATGTGAACGACACTTGTAAATCCCAGATCATATTCACATTAGAAAATGAGATCTTTAGAAATTTATTTTAAAGTCTACAGAAGCCCAATACTAACAAAAACATGGAAAAATAAAATATATGCAGAAAAATGCAAATGTGCCCACAGAGAAACCCTGTGCAGAGGCATCACGGCTGAAGACAGAGGCCTCTCCAGCATCGAGGGGACAAGGAGAAACCGGCAAGGCAACCGGCTGTTTCCTTTCAGCCTTTCCTTCTGGACGTTACTATTTCTTTTAAATCATTAAGAGCCTCTGACTTGGAAAAAGCTTTTGGATGAAACTGTTCCTGAAGTCTGATTTTCTTGGTGAGAGATGTAAGGTTCTTGAAATATAAATTCACTTTCATAGTGTCTTTGATCTTATGAGTATTAACTTCCAACTGAGCATATGTTTCATCTTCCTGTGCTTCCATTTTGTTGTCTCTAAATATACATTTCCAAGTTATTGCAAAGAAAAACAATTACGTTCTTTTGCATGGCAAAGTACTCCACTTAATTTGGTGCATATTTAGCACCTTATTCTTTCTCGAGTCCCTTTTTGCTTCTCAGCATTTAACCTCACTTCCTGCCCCCCACCCCCATTGGAAACCATATTGTATTTTCCCTTTACTATCATTAGCTGTTATGGGAAAGGCTGTGTAGATGTCTGTTGTGACACAGTTCGGCCCTTGTAGCTGCCTCTTGTGATAGCAGCTGCTTCTCATGATTGCTCCTGGCTGGACAGCTGTCCCTTGAGAGAGTGGCTGCCTCTCATGATAATGTCTTCCTCTTATGATAGTGGCTGCCTCTGGCAATAGTGGCTGCCTGTCTCAATAGCAGCTGCCTGTTTCGATAATGTCTTTCTGTTGCAATAGAAGCTAACTCTTGAGGTACTAGGTGCCTGTCGCGACAGTGGCTGCCTCTCGCAACAACAGAGGCCTGTCGTGGTAGTGGCTGCCTGGTGATGGTGCCTTCCTCTCGCCATAGTGACCGCTTGTCCTGGGGGTGCCCTCTCACAACTGTGGCTGCCTCTCCCAATCGTGGCTGCCTCTCGAGATTCTAGCTGCCCATCGCGATGGTGTCTTTGTCTCGTGAGAGTGGCTGTGTGTTGTGATAGCATCTTCCTCTCCTGATAGGGGTTGCCTCTCACGATATTGAATGCCTCCTGTGTTTGTAACTGCCTTTCAATATAGTAACTGCCTGTCGTGATGGAAACCACTTCTTGCGATAGTGTCTGCCTGTCGTGATAGTGCCCTCCTGTCATGATAGAGACAACCTCTCGTGACAGTAGCTGCTGTTCAAGATAGTGGCTACCTCTCATGATTCTGGCTGCCTCTTGTGATACTGGCTGACTCTTGCAATACTGGCCACCTCTCCCAACAGTGTCTTCCTCTCATGATACTGGCTGCCTGTCATGATAGTGGCTGTGTCTTGTGATAGTGGTTGCTTCTCGAGATAGTGTCTTTCTGTTGTCATAGTGGCCTTCTGTCGCCATAGTGTCTGTCTGCCGAGACAGTGCCTGTCTCTTGTGATAATGGTTGCTTCCTGTGATACTGGCTGCCTGTTGTGGTAATGGCTGCCTCTCCTGACAGTTGCTGTTTCTCATGACAGCGCCTGGCCAGGTAGCCGCCTTGTGCGATAGCAGCCGCCTCTCGTGCGAGTACCCGGTAGTAGCTGCCTGTTGCAGTATTACCCAGCTAGGATGTTGTCTCTGGTGGTAGTAGCTGCCTGTTGTGATAGTGCCCAGCTGGGTAGCTGTCTGTTGCAGTAGTAGCTTCCTGTTGCAATATAATTCAGCCAGGGAGCTGCCTGTCGTGATATTATTCGGCCCAGTGGTTGCCTGTTGTGTTATTGTCCTGTAGATGAAAAAGGGGCCACATGCTAAACCTGCCAAGCTCAGGGGAGGCCTGCATGGCGGCCTTACAAACACAGACCTGAAGTAACCACAGGGGATGGTCTGAAATTAAAAGTGAGCCACGATGTGTAGTCATGTCCTAGGCTGGTACCCTCCTGGACGAAGGCTGATCTTTACCTTGTCTGAGCCTATTGTCTTTCTGCATCTAGGACAACATACCCTGGAACGTCAGGTAACTTCCCTTTTCCAGAGCTCTCAGGGCACAAACGCCACACCAAGCAGAGACCGCAGTCCCCTCATTGTTGTCATCATCACATCATTAACTGTTAATTACCCTGCACCCACCTAGCAGAAGTGTCTGTCCATCTCACTTTTTATCCCGTCCCAGAGGTTTACCCACTTTGCTTTCTCCTGACTTCCTGATCCATCACCAAAGGATTTCATGTAACCCCTTTATGTCTTCCCCTTTGATTCTGATGAATAAAAAAAAAGTGGTAAAACTGCCATTTTCTGCAGATTTTCTCAATCTCTTGAGATCTTGCTTCCCAGCAACTGTCAGTTTGGCTCACACACACACACACACCTCCTAAAAATTCTTACAGGTCTGGACATTTCTTATGTTGAGAGTCTGGTCTGGCCCCATAGCTGGATTCTAAGAGAATATTATACTTAATTGAATTTATTAGGTGACATCGGTTAATAAAATTATATAGATTTCAGGTGTACAAGTCTATAATACATCATCTGTGTATTGTATGTTTACCAGCCCAAGTCACGTCTCTTTCCCTCACCACTTGTCCCCACCTCATCCTCTCCTGCCTCCCCCCACCCCCATCTCCCTTTGGTAATGATCATACTGTTGTCTGGCTGTGACGGTTTTTTTTTTTCTTAATTCCTTCACCTTTTTCACCTAGTCCCATCTCCCTTCCCCTCCGACAGCTAAGAATCTTTCTATTTTGTTTGTTAGTTTATTCTCTTCATTAGACTCCATATATAAGTGAAATCACGTGGTACCTGTCCCCCTCTGACTGACCCAGCCCACCCAGCTCACTACTCTTCAGGCCCACTCGTGCCTCCGCAAAAGGGAAGGTTTCCTTCTCTTCCACTGCCGAGCGCGTTCTATGGTGTGAATGCACCATGGCTTTTTTAATCCACTTATCTACTGATGGGTGCTTGCTAACCTCACTTCTAAAAGCTGTCTTATGGGTAGTTTCTATTCCTGGTCAAAATGATTCCCATGTCATAATTGGGAAATAGAAGCTACTGGCAACCTCTGGCACCATGAAGGGCCCAGCATTCAAGGTTGAATGGGGCCGCAGGTGTGATCAGGAAGGAAGTGGGTAAGGACAAATGTAGGGCCTGACGGACGGGTGATGTAGCCCGTGGCAGAGGATGGCATGAGAGCGCCTTCTCAGCTTATTTTCAAGTGGAGCAGGAGGCACCAGCAAGATGGTGTCACTCTGAGTGACAGCGTTAGAGGAAGGACTCCCTGTTCAAAAGCCCTTTGTCTGTCTTTAATAACCCTGCAGGCCATGGGGGAGGTGATGCAATTTGTATCGGTTGAACTTGGGAAGTGATAATGCCCTGCAGAAATTGAGACTGAACATGATGACAATGGAGAGCATTATGCAAAGACATACTCTCAACTGCTGACTTTCCAATGTAATGCTTGAGTTTGGTCAACAAATTTAGTGGCAATGTCTACAAGGTGTGGTGCACCGTGGTTAAAGCAACAACAAGATGTGCTTTTACTTAAAACAGAGGATTGCTGTCTTAATGAGGTCCTTCTAGGACCAAGGAAAAGAGTTTTATGAACTAGCATATGTGACTATGGCTGATCTTCTAAAATATACTTGACTCAAAAAAAAAAAATGGGTCAGCTTTCACTGGAACAAAGCAATGAAGGAATATTTGATGTGGCCCAGTCCTGAACACCACCTCCCATGTGGAGAAACGATTTCTTGGGACGCACTGGAACACGGCTTAGCCTAAGACTCCAGTCAGCCTCTACAGAGGACAAATCAGCCTCCTTCGATCTGGTGCAGAAGTGGAGCATTTGCTGACTCCACCCAAGCATCTCAGACAATTCCCAGTAAGAGTTACAAGAGCTTACTTGTAGACTGACAATCCACGGGGGATTTTGCATTGACCTTGAACACCTGGAAGATCAGCAGCATCTCTGAAAGAACTGGTTAGTCAGGAGTGTTCTATGCACCAGGTGTGAGTCAGCTTATCACTTCCGTTAACACTTCAGTCACACTTAATTCAGTAGTTTTACTGTGAAATGAGACTAAGCTCATCAAAGAAGGGGTACCACGTATCAATATATTTTCAAACTGGACAATTTCCTTATACTTATTACTTTTTAAAATACCATAAAGCATTTTGGCCACTTGACATCTATTTAGAAGGTAGATGCTGTCTCTAACCTAGCACAGAGTTTAGAAGATAACCTAACACTACTTAAGTCAGAGCTTGCTAACTTGGAATTTGCGGTTCTTTCTCTCTCTAAAAGCTGAGCAGAATGGATTTCCTGAACAAGTCAGAGGAGCAAGGTAGAAAGGGGATTGTCAAGCCAATAAGACTTTTCATGAACTCATACATTTTTGCCCAAACAAAATGAAATGCTGATGATAAATAATTGATCAATTATTGAAGAAGGTTCCTTTAGAATCTCTCCCTGGGATCTACTTGTAGCCCATTTCTGGTTGCCATGTACAGCTATGAGAATTTGGCATTGTTCAGACTGCTATTTATTCAGGTACCATGAATAAATGATACCCTGACCTTTCAGTAAAAGCGAATAGAAGGAGTTCTGTGGAATAAAAGTTGTTTCTCCTTGGAAGGGTGGGGCTTTACTAGGGCTTCCCAAAGTCACAGGTTGGCTCCTGTGTCCTCAGAAGTGAGAAAAACAGCTCAGATGGGTGCACCTACCTGTCCTGACTGAGGCCCAGTGCTGTCAGGGTGGAGACCACTGTTCCCACAAAGCCAGTGAGAGCCCACCAGGGGTTCTGTACCAGGAGTCCGACCAGAATCAGGATTCCACTGATGGGGTTGCTGATGAGCACCACTTGGGACAGGCCCCGAAGAACCCAGTCGAAGACCTGGAGCACCAGGGGTTTGTCTGGAAAAGACGAGATGGGCAGGGCTGAGAAAGCAGCTGGGTGTCCTCTTCCCAAGGTTAGGGCTCTCTTGAGCAGAATCATCAAAGTCTCCTCTGATGAACACAAATTCCATTTCTGGTATGCTTTGAACGCTTTCCCCTTTAGTGAAACCCAGATCCTTAAAAGCATCCAGTTTCTTTTTTTTTTTTTTTAAATTAAAATACTTTATTTATTTTTAGAGAGAGGAGAAGGGAAGGAGAGAGAGAGGGAGAGAAGCATCCATGTGTGGTTGCACTCCATTCTGCGGACCAGGCCTGCAACCCAGGCATGTACCCTGACTGGGAATCGGACCCTCAGTGCTTTGGTTGGTAGGCTCTCGCTTAATCCACTGAGCGACACCAGCCAGGGCGCATCCAGTTTCTTTATGCTCAACCCACACTGCCCCTACTGGAGCTTCAGCCCCAGAAAGCATCAAATGCACTTACTTATCTTGCTTATCGATGCACACTTTGAAGCCAAAGGAATAAATTACCCATAGTAAGATTTCAGACGTTAAATACTGAAACTATAAAGGGGAGCCAGTTGCCTTCCTCTGATGTGAGCGGGACCCTAGCCCTGACCACTATCTCTATAAAAAAAATGTTTGAAGAGGCTTGCAGTTTTGGAGATGAAAAATTAAAACATGGAAAGAGATAGAAAATAGGTGAATATAACTAAAAATATGAGTAGAAGAACCAGAAAGGGGTGCAAAGCAAAAGAACCCTGGTATAGAGCAAGTTCCCCAGCAGTTAAGATACTTTTCATAACAATGGGAGGCTGATGCCTCACTAATAGGTGTGTTACCCCCTGGGGCAAAAGGCAAGTAGTGACCTTCAGAATGTACCCTGGCTTGTGATGTAGCCATGGAGGGGGTTCCCTTTGTCACTGAGTTACACTTGCCCTAACTAAAGGTGGCAGCTAAGAGCATGTAAATTATACGGGAAACTGGCAAATGTAGCTCATGGTCGGAGGGGTGGAGATGAGGCCATGCAGGAAGCTCTGAGTCAGGATTTAAACTAGGGGTGAGCAGAGAGAAGAGGCTGGCCTGCCACACAGGCTGAGAGCGTAGGTAGCAGCTGTGCTGGTCTGTGGTGAAGAGGGCAGCCATGTGAGAGATTCAGCCAGGCTGCCAGTGATGAGATAGGAGCCGTGTGGGCAGAGTGAGTGTGGAGGAGAAAGAGCCACGATGTAGCAGCGGGGCAGTTGGCAGTCAGGACCCGGCCATGCGGCCTGGGGTCCTAGGGGAGAGAACGGCATGCTGCTGCTCCGATCGGCCCGCTCTAGCTGACTCAGAGGCCTTGCAAGATACTGACCTGCTGCCCTGCAGACCTGGACTCTATCTGGACTCTTGGGATGTGTGCCTTTCCTGGACTCCACCATAATCCAGTACAACACAGCACAGGCTTTTCTGGACTACAGTATGGAGGCAGATGACAACGTACCCCAAATCCTGAAGGACAGAGCTGCTGCCAGACTGTTTGCACAGTCGGCTTAAGCACAGATAGGGATGTGGGGACCTACTGGGCTTGGCCTTGGCTTTTGTCCTTTTGGGAAGCAAGGCAAGTGGTAGGTCTTGGGGAAGAACAGGGCTCTGAGCCTAAGTGTTCTCAGCTGGATCTGTTAAATAAAAACTTGTCTCTCAACACTGATTGTAGGGTCATGCACCAACGCATCCTGTGAATGGGCCCTTGTTTGCTCGGTTACAGAAGCATCAGTCAATTTCTCCCACAGCCACTTCTTATATTTCTCCAAGGCAGAGAAACATAAATACCTTTAAGCCAGTTGGCAAATTCTTTCATGTCACCGGTGACATAGCCAAGTGCCTTGGGAAAGCACCTTCTCCCTCGACGTGGGGAAATCTGGTTCTCACCGCGGTCCACTTTAACCATGGCAGGGCTCTCCTCCATGGGTCTCGTCCCCGGCCCCTTGAGGAAAGAAGAGAGCTCATACACACCTTGATGCAGAATATTCCAGACTGTCCAGATCGGGCCCGGGCACAGTAGTCACAGAGGATGAGTTTAAAGGCACTTCATCTGGACCATGACACCCCGTGATACTAAGAAAGCACCGTTTTCCTCTGGAAATATCATCGTGGATATTATTGCGCAAACCCCAGTTCCATCCTGCTTTTGTCATTACTGTCTTTGTTGCCGCCAGGAGAAGGTTCTGGTTTTTATTTTCATAAGGTGCAGTTTCTAATTCAACAAACATTCATTGAGCACCTACATCCTGACTCAAAGACCTCACTCAGCCTAGTGGAAAAGGCTGGAAAACAGTTACTTTCAACAGAATGAGTCCCATAATACATAGAAAGAGCTGATATTTCACGTTAAGCTTCTCACTGTTAATCAAAGGAGCCATCATTAGATTTCGAAGTGGTACTGACTACTGCACACCAATGAGGTGCTGTCTGAGGCTAACAGCCTTTTAAAACTAAAATTTAATTTTATAAAAAAAGGCTTTCATTTTTACAAGCTTGAAGGGAAGAAAAACTTAAAAAAACTGTGTGTGTTGACACTGCTTAAGAGACCCCTTCACACACGTTCCCCAAATTCAAAGATTATTTGAGTATGTCCTCACATCAGGTAATGGCCTCAGAAAATCATTATTTTTGGAATTAGTTGTTTAAATGTTTTAAAACAGGCAAGAATAACATTACACAAAGGTACAGAAAATGAGTAAGATAGAAGTGGACCAAGCGGAGGAAAATCCAAGAGTTGAAATCTAAGAATTATATAATATAAGGATGTACAGGGCCTTCATTATAGTAAATGTGCTTCAAGAAAATACAACATAACTGTGACTTCTGTTCACTACGAGGTTCTTCTCACAATTACTGTGTCACAGGGAAGCCCCAACACAGAACTGTTTCATGGCGTCGATGGTGGACACAGAACACCAGTGATGTAATCCCAGAGGTAGGCAAAGGGAGAAGGCAATGGCAAAACCACCTTGAGTGTGCAAGTCCAGAGCCCAACCAGGTAAGTGTGAAGTAGGTGAGTACCAACACCATCAGCCCCCAAAAGGCGTAACTGGAATGCTGAAGTCCCAGGCACATAAGATGTGACCGTGGAAATCACAAAGCCTGTGTGGATAAACCCGCTCACCCTCTACCTGTGGCCAGGCCGCGAGTAAGGGCTTCATTCCCATGGCTTTCTCTGGCCCCATCACTGTTTACTACAGCCAACAAGTAGCTACTAACAGACAGAAACGGGATGCCTTTTTCTCCCCTTCCAACCTGACTCTGGCTTTGTCTTCTTTTAGGTCTGGTATGGAAATCAATGTAGGCAACTGTTTTTTTTTTTTTTTTTTTTTTTTACTAAGCAACAATTGTACTTTAATTGTATTAGTCCACTGCCCAATTAACCATCTGCTTTCAAACAATGGTGAACCATTAATCATTAGACAAAGTAGAAGGTATTTATGGAACACATTCTGGATGCAGCTCATTTTGGCTTGCCGAAATGGTGTTAGATTCATGCATTTGTGAGATTTCCAGTGAGCCTTTGTGCTAAGAAGCTCTTAAATTGAAAACTGCTGGAAGTCAGGATCCAAAACTAAGTCTCTATGGAGGTCACTGCTCCCATAATTAAACCTGCTAAACTGAATTACTAAGCAATTATGAAAAGCTGTTTTTTTGTTTTATGATCTAAGTGATGGCTATCAGTTATTTTCAGATATTTCCCTCTTTAAAAAAAAGATTTTATTTATGTAGAAATGAAGATCTCAAGGAGGGTTAGCAACAGGGGAGTGGGAGGAGGAGAAGGTACAGAAAATAAGTAGCATAGGCAGTAGATAGAAAATAGATGGGCGGGGCAAGAATAATATGGGAAATATAGAATCTAAAGAACTTGAGACACATGGTCATAAACTAAAGGGGGGTAATGGTGGGGATGGGGGGTAGGGTGGAGGGAAATGAAGGGGGGGAATAGAACAACTGTAATGGCATAATCAATTAAAAAAAAGTGGAAAAAAAAGATTTTATTTATGTATCCTTAGAGGGAAAGGGAAGGAGAGAGGGAGAGAAATATCAATGTATGGTTGCCTCTCATGCGTCCCCTGCTGGGAACTGGTCTGCAACCCAGGCATGTGCCCTGAGTGGGGAATCAAACCGTGATCCTTTAGTTCACAGGCCCACACTCAATCCGTTGAGCTACAGCAGCCAGGGCAGATATTTCCCTCTTTCAATGGCATTAGTGAAGATACTGGTTGGGCAGCCCCTCCCCCAGCTACTGTGACGGGTCTTGAACAGCTATGCCAGCTTCTCAGAGGCAGCGGCCTCCCCCCAACCACCGACAGCTCCGCTACAGCAGCCTGGAGTCTCTCCACGTGTGCAGAGCAGCGTCCAGGGGGGCAGCCTGGAGTGACAGCACCGAAGGGGCATTTCCCCTCAGGCACAGGAACGGTTCGGTATATATGGGTTATTCCAGGGTGAGCACATTCATGCTTTCAAATTTTCCAGCCCATATTTACTTATTTTAGGGGGTTTAAATTCACCATGGCCTCAGAGATTTTCACGATATAGGTGGGAAAGTTGACACTAGGACTGGCCGGACGTGACTGGGAACCTGAGTACCCCTCGGAGCCACCAAGTTAAATAAAGATGGAGTTTTTGTCTGAATCCACAGCTTATCACTTTCTTTCAGGAAGGAGCCATGTGTTGGGATTGCTGGTTGGGGGGGCTTCTCTGTCCTAGACAGAGGGGTCTCTTCCTGTGCAGAGTGGGCAGTGGCTGCTGGTTTCGAGCCCTCGGGAACCATTTATTCTGAACTGCAAAGAGCGTCTGGATGCCCTGCAAACCCTGCCTGCTTGTTCCAGGACTCCAGCATTTGTACGGGTTATGTGAAATAGTAGCTTAAAGGCTGTAGTTCATCCTAAAATTTTATCACACTAGACCTGACGCATTTCTTTCGGGCACTTTAAGAATCCACACATCTGTGGGATGTGACAATGGAAGGCAATAAGTAGAGCAGGGACCACCTACTGATAAGCAAACTGCTCATATCCGACTAAGAAGGCCATTAGATTTCAACTAAAAAGGCAGGACAAGAAAGTGAAAAGAAAAAGCCCTAATAAAATAGGAGCAGGATAAGGGTAAACAAACAAACAAACAAACAAACAAAAAAACTCAAACAAACACAAGCAAACAAAACCCGGACTATTTTCTCCTAGCTTTTCTACAAGCATCAAAATGCCGAAGCTCCAGTGCCCAGCATCTGAACCATGAGAAGCACCGTGTGAGTCACTGGACCGAGCCCCACGTGCAGCCAAGTCCACCCCAGCCATGGCTCAGCAGTGCGGGAGGACCCTGCTTCCCAGGCTCTGCTCAGGAAAGACACTGGAGCACAGGTGCTGAGGTTCCCAGAGACAGAGGCTGTATGAAGGATGCATACTTGTTTCGGCTGCCCACGAGCCAGGGCCAGCCTTAGCTGGGGGGAAGCCTCCGCACGTTGCTTCACCAGCTTTATTTCCAAAAGGGACCCTCCAAAGAGGAACGGGAGGGACGTCATCAGCACTGCCAGTCAAAGCCTGTCCATTCATCCTCCTTCATCTCCACACTCTCCATACATGACAAAGGGCAAAAAATACATGAATCAGCAGGACATGTGCCCTGGCTCTGAGGAGCAGGTGAACTGTAAGGCAGGAGCGCACGGGTGGGTTCCTGAGGAGCGGGGATATGGCCCCAGGCAGGGACCTCTATCGGAGAGGGCGGACTTCTCCATCAGCCAAGAGCTCCAGCAGCAGAGAGACAATGAGCTGACTACAGACACTGAAATGTTTGTTTTACTTTGTTTAGAACACACAACAAAACAAAAATGGTAGCAAACCATTCTGCGTAGAGAGAAACCAACGCACAGATTCATGCTGTGGTTTTCCACTACTGGGAGGTGGGCAGATCTGAAGCCTGTTCTAGGGGGAGGAATGGGCTTTGGCGGCTCTGAAATGCTTCGGGGCAAACTGTTAGGGTTCCATTGAGACCAAGGCCAAAGCAACAGTGTCCTCAGTCTTGTTCTTCACAAAGTAACAAGGCAGGGTGTGGACTCTATTTTCTGTAATAAGGTACTAGCTACACTTAATGCACAGCAAAGCTCCCATCGGAGAGAATGCCAAATGGCGTTTTTTTCCTCCCTTGTATCCGAATAACAATTGTTAAATGCTAGTCATCATCTTGTTAATGACAAACAATTCTTGTTTGAACTCAACAATTGTGGCAGCTTTTTATGTTTCCTTTTTTTTTTAAAAAAAACAAACTTCTGTTGCATCCAAGGATATCATTTTTTCCTCCAGAGGTTCCAGAAAACATTAAAAGTGATATGTGTGGTATTTCTTTTTTTCTCCCCCTTTTATTTAACTTTTACTTTCTTCTACTGGCTCAGTTTTAAACCTGAGAACTTACACTCTACTAGAGTGACTCAGAACAATCTACAATTGTGGCAAATATCACTGTCATGTCTTAGAAAAAGTCGTGTGCCTGTGTTGTCCATCTGTGGTTAAACTATCTGATTAGTTAAGTACAGAACTGATGTGTCTCTGGTTTACACTGTGCATATTTTAGTTTGAAAAGGAGCAACATTAAGAAGCCCAATGGTAAGACTCTCATACATGGCTAAAAAAGATAGAAGGAAAGAAAAGAGGAGAAAAAGAGAGAGGCAGGAACTGTCGCCTCTCGTCAGCGTGAGCGTTTAGCCCTGCACGTTCCTGCCTCTCACCCACCACCAAAATCACACACAGGGAATCAAGTCCTTTGAACTCAAAAGCAACCTTTTCTTAGAGCCAAGAGACGGGAAAACTTGAGAGCGAGGCGCAATTTTAGAGAGTGAGAGCTGAAACCTTCATTCTATAGAAGAGAACATGGAGGGTCCCGGTGGGGACCGTCCAGGCTTCCTCAGCAGAGTCAGCCCTGTGGAGCAGGTGGGCTTCCGCA